GGAGCTGGACCCACGGGGCGCCCAGGTTTACCCTGGAGCCGCCCGTTATCCAAAACCTCTCCTGGGTCCCTGTGGGCGTGATAGATAGTGAGCTGCCTGTCCCCGGAGGTGTGCAAGGGGAGCCTGCATGGGGATCGCCCGGGCTGGTGAGGCGGGACTCGGCGCTGGACACACGCCCCCTATCAGCGTGGGAACCCGCTCCGCTGCGCCCCAGCCGCAGATGTTGGGGTGTGCCGAGGGCAGGAGCAGAGGGAGTGGTGACAGGGCCCTCTATCAGGGACAAAGCAGAGCAGGTCTCAGGCTGGTGTCAGCCGCTAGGCGTGTGGCCTTCGTGAGCACACCACCAGGGGTGCAGTGGGCTGGAGGGTTCGGGAAGAGCTGGGCAGGCCAGCATCTGGGCTGGAGGAAATGGTGTCTGAGCCCAGGCACCTGCCAGTGGCAAGTTTGGGAGGCTTGGAGCCAGGACAGCAGGAGCGTGAGAGCTAGTGTGTGTGTATGTGTGACTGTGAGAAAGTGAGAAAGGAGGGGGCCAAGGGTGGAGCATTGAGAACCTCAGAGAGCAAAGGGGTGGGAGAGCAAGGGAAGGGGGAAGAATGTGTGAGCTAAAGAAAAAGCGAGTTCCTGTGAGAGAGGAGAAGAAGAGGGCCAGTGGGGGGGCGAGGGGGGAGGGAGGGGTGACAGCCTTCATGTGCCCAGAAAGCTGCATTCTCCCCTCAAGCTGGGGCTTTGAGGGACCAGTATCAGGGGTGGCCAGGCAGAGCCTGGAGTCAGAGCCTGGGCAACTGCAGGCCCGTGGGCCCCTGGGAGCCCGCCCCACCCCTACTGGCAGCTGAGCCATCCAGTGAGCTCAGGCAGGTATGAAACCCTCGGGAGGTGTGATAAGCAGGAGTGTGGTCTGGTGAGGAGGGAGGTCTGACCGGGCTGGGCCCCTCTGTCCAGCCGCCCCAACTCTGCCCTGGCCAGCCTTGCCCTCACCGGCTGTGGGAGCAAGAGGAGATAGGATGGGTGGGGTAGGGTGAGTGTGAGGCACCTCAGTCTGGAAGCTCTGCCTCTTCCCCAGCCCTTCCCAGTCCCCTCGATTTTGGGGCAGTCGAACCCGCGGCTTCAGAAATGGGAGAGATCTGGGTTTGAACCAGGTGACCTTAGGTGAGCCCTCTGGTGCCTCTGAGCCTCACCCTCTCGGTCTTGTCGGAGGGGGGTGGGAGGTAACAGTGCCCACTGCTGGGCGTCGAGGATGATTGAACGAGGTAATTTGGGGAGTGGGACAGCCAGGCACGCTGGAGACATTCCGTCACCTGTAGCTGCCCCGTTGATATGGGTGCAGGGTCAGTTGGGGCCAGGTCTGAGCTGGGCTGTTGTCTGTCACTGCAGATATGCAGAGAGCATCTGGGGTCGCCCTGATGTGTTTATCCCCGGGCTGCTGTTGGCAGGGCCAGGAAAGCTATGTAAATATTTATCTATCGCAGTTCAGCTGCTTTCAGGGTTGATGAAAGCCCCGAAGCCCCTGGGACCAGCTGGGGAGGGGTGAGAAGGGGCAGATTAGGCTGCAGCATCGGGGAGAAGACGGACCTGCCTGCCGACTTGGCTGTGTGACTTGGCCAGGTTGCTTGGCCTCTCTGAGCCTCAGAGGGGCTTAATGCTAAATAGAATGGCATGATGATGCTCCCCTGTCTTCCTCACAGCCTCCTGTCAGGGTCACCTCCTGCCAACAGCAGAAGGCATCGCTATGATCAATGATCTTTATTGGACCAAGAGCCAACTGAGGCCCACAGAGGGGCACAGCTAGTCTGGCTTTCCCCAGCAGGCTCCTAGTCTGGGGTCCTCCTTTATCTCCCCTCTACCGGATGCCTCCCATTTTCCTGATTGGAAGTTGTCCCAGAGGCTGACCTTGAGCCTCTAGCTCAGCCAAGAGATTGAGTCAGCCGAGAAATTCCTCGAGGATGTTTGAGGCTGTGATTTAGTGCCCGCCAGAGGACGGGGTGAGCGAGCTGGACTCCCAGCACACAGGCTGGCCTTGGGAGGATACTGGCGCAGGAGGAGGGAGCGCACCAGAAGAAGAAACACTTCTCAGCAACATGGGTGGGGGGGGGGGGGGGGGGGGGGGAGAGCGTGAGCGTGGATCTAGGACCAGCTCTTGCCCCACATGCTGTGTGACCCTGGGTAAAGTCCTTGACCTCTATGGGCTCTGGAAAATGCTTGCTCCCTGGCCCCCAGGGCCCACCACCCAGCTCACTGAATCCCAGCAGCCTTGGGAGGACCAGCATACCCATCTGAGGAGTCAGTGGGCTGCCTGGTGCCAGGCCTTCCAGCTAAGCCAGGTGGCCCCAGGCCAGGAAGGACTCAGAAAGACGGGGTGTGGGAGGTCAGCGGGGCAGGGAGCATGTGTCCCATCCCAGGAATGGGGGAAAAGAAGCCAAGAGCTATTAAGTGATGGGCTTCCCCCGAAAGATCCTACTGTCTGGAGGCCTTCTTTCTAGTGTCTTCTGCTCACTCTCTTTCCAAGACCCATGAGGGTGGCACAGAGAGGGAGCAAGAGGCCTTTGCTTGTGGGGAGACCCTGCAGGAGTCACTCTTCTTCTCTGGGTTTGCAAGCTCCCTTCTGACTGCAACTCCTGTTTTAGGATTTAAAGTCTGGAGACTTTGGGGGAGCTGATGCCAGGTGGGTGGCGGGAGCGCTAGGGAATTGGGTGACAGTGGATTCCCAGGTGTTGGACAGGAGGGCTCACAGGGGCAAGGAGCAGGGCCAGGGAAGAGGCTCTGCCAGATGCTGCAGCAGGCATTGCAGAAGGAGGGCATTCGGCCTGTTGCCATGGCACTATTCCCATTTGATAGCTGGGGAAATCAAGGCTAAGAGAGGACAGTGACTTGCCCAGGGCCACTCCGTCCAGGGGTGCGGTGGCATAGAACTGGGTCTTCTGAATCTCAGTCTGTGGCTCTTTCTACTGCACGGAGAGTACCATGATCCAGGTCTCTGGGGGTGGACTTGGTGCCTTGTGGGGGCAGGAGAGGAAGGGATGGCGTGTGTGTCCATTCCCCACTCTCCCTCCATGGCTGGCTGCTCCAGGCCACACTGGGAGCTGAGAGAGAGGAAGAGAGATTTCTGCCCAGGGGCATAAACAGAGCTGGCCTCGCCCTTCCCAGGGAGGGTCCTGTACCCCTGCCCCTGGGTGGGGGAGGAAACTGTACCCTGATGGTCAGGGGGGTGTGGGGAGGGGAAGGGCAGGCCTCATGGCTGGTCACACAAGCCTGGGCTCCACATCCTCAGTGTGAGACCTGGCACATGTGTCACCCCCACCTTATGGGAGGAGGGGGGAGGTACAGTGAGCCCGCCTGCAAAGTGCCTGGGAAGTCGCAGGTGGTTAATATGTTCCCATTCCTTCTCTTCTTCACCAAGGTGAGGCCAGCTGGGGTCCCTCCTCCAGGAGAAGGGGGACTCCAGCCCAAAGAGCAGAGCAGAGGTAGCAGGTAGGGCGGGCTGCGGCACCGACAGCCTGCCATCTGCCAGCTGTTACCTGGGCAAATTGCTTGACGTCTTTGGGCTCCATTTCCTCGTCTGAGAAATGGGCATGATGAAGGTGGAGTTGGTGAGAGGTCCCATCAGGGGCTAAGAGCATGTCCCGAGGAGCGATGGGCAGGGTCCTGGCCTCGATACAGGGGAACTGCAACAGTGATGAGTACTTAACAGCACAGCCCAGTACCCAACCGTTCAATAAGCAAGCTCAGACCGAGAGAAAACCGGTTCTGGGCCCCACATACCAAGTAGCTCCATAGCCGCCTAGGGGTTCAGAAGACCCCTTCATAGCGGGGTATTCTGGGGGGTTGAGTCTGGGTGGCTCTGGGGGTTGAGGTGTTGGTGGCTCCATAATTGGGAGCTTGAGGGAGGGGGGCAAGGACGCTGATCAGGAGCCTGGGGCCTGGGAGAGCTGCCAGAGGCTGAGGCCGAGGCCAAGGCTGAGGGTGGGGCCTGGGTGGCCCGGCTCCCACCCCAAATATGGCCGTGGGGAGGCCACCGCTGCCCAGACCAGGCAGGCGCTGAGTCTCTCAGCAAACTGCGCCACATGCCTCTCCTCCAGCCTTGCACAGTGTCCGCAGCCAGCCTTGGCCTCGGCCGGGTCACCAGAGTCCTCACCTGGCCCCGCTACGCCCTGGCTGGAGGATTTCGCAGGGTCTCCCAACCTTTCTGAGTTTCTGCTTTTTTCATGAACTAGAACTCTTTTAGGAACCCTGGAACTTTCAGAGGGTGGCAGCTCCAGTCAGAATCACTTGGCACCTGGGGCTCTTGCTGGGGCTGGTCACCCCTACCACACACACACACACACACACTCACTCACTCACTCACTCACTCAGGCATGTAGGGGGCTGGCAGACCACATCTAGCCCTGCCACGCACCCAGCCCTGGTAAAGTGTGGGCAGAACTGCCCTCAGAAATCAGACCCATTTTCCAGACTGGATGCCCTTACTGGGTACGTGGCCCCAGGCTATGTGCCTTAAATGCATTACCGTGGCTCATCCTCAGATCAACACTATGGGGAGGAATTAGCCCCATTTGTCAGGTAAGCAAATCGAGGCAGACTGCAGCCCCTCCACACTGAAGAGTGTCTGTGGTGGGACTCCTGGGCAGGAGAGGCTTACGTGATGTAGGAGCTGGGACTGGAAAGGAGGGGACTCAGGAAGAAAGGGAGGTAGATGGTATTTGCTGGGGT